TTCTTCTTCTTCTTCTTCTTCTTCTTCTTCGGCAAGCTCATCCACATCGTCCGCAGTGCTGTGGGCTTGGGCGTCGGTGGCGAGCAAGGATGTTGGCTGAAGCTGCGGCGCGAGCGTCGGTGCGTGTTGATGCGCGTCGGCTGGCAGATGGCGGGGCTTCGAGGGGGTGAGGTGGTTGTATGCTGCTGGTGGCTTTTGACCTGGGTCCATTGCGTGTTCGCGCCTTGATGCCGGGCTGAGCATGGTCGGTGTAGTGCTGTGCTGCTGCTTATGATCGTGATCGTGGACAGGACTACGAAGGGCTTCTGCGTGCTCGAGTTGCTGGGAAGGGTGAGGAGATGAACGATCGCATGTGGCGGGCACGGAGACCGACTGGACTTGGACAGCTTGGTCAGCGGCGGAAGCGCTGGGCACTGATAGAGGCGCTGGCTCTTGCGGGTGCGCTGGTGCCGGAGCGGTTGCGAGATCTTGTCGAGAGTTGCCGACCATCTTGGAAAGAGGAGCAAGCGCGAGCGCGCTCGTCGAGGCGCAGCAGAGGTGGGAAGGTTCGTGCAAGCCGCCTGTATGCTGTGTCGAGGCGTGGCGTGGCAGGGCAAATACGCTCTAGCCAGACTAGCCAGACGCGCTCAGCTGCACGCACTGCGACATTGGCGATGCACGCCCACCGTATGCGTGCTTTGTCGGGCTGCAAGCGTGTGGGCTGGATGCAAGTGATTGTTGTGGTTGTATGCGGTGCGTCGGGAGTGCCGTCGTGGCTTCTTGTCAAATGGCTCAGCTGGCTCAGCTGGCTTTGCTGGCTCAGCTAGGGTCCGCACGCCAACCGCATCTTTTTGGCCATTGCCAGTCAGAACAACACTTTTCCAAGTGGCAGCGCAGCTTCCAGGCGTGCGAGAAAAAGAGCAACACGAGAGCTGTGTGGACCTGCCATTGGTGTTTGAGCCCACGCGTGATTCGGCTCTCGCCTCCACTTTTGGCTCGGATCGGCGCTTCTTCCGTGCGCCTCCTCCTCACCTCCTTCCACTCCAACCGCAGCATCACGGCCGGCGCAACGCTCCTCCCTCAACATGGCTCAACGGCCTCCATCACCAGGCGATGAGGTGCGTATCTTTCCCATCCTTCGCTCTGATGTTCCCCCTGATGCCAACGATGCACCTTGCTACAGGCCACGCCTTTCCTTCTCCGAGTCTTTGTCAAGCCAGCTCCCTTCCGTCCGTTGGATGACTTTCACTCTTCAAACCGCGTGGACCGCGACGAGTTCAAGCTACACGTCTGGTAAGCGCCACATCTTTCTCCTCCACATTAGGTCTGCTGAACACGTCACTGACACTTCGTCTTTTCACCCGCAGGAAGACAAACACACTCCGAGAGGTGGCTCAGATGCTCTACGATGCCGATCCGTCCGTATCATCGCCTCTAGCTTTGCACGCCTTCCGACGCATCTCCTGGAACGACCGCTCGCGAACGTACGAGGCCACATCCATCGGCGTCGGTGTCACCCGCGTCCCTTTCACCAGCATCTCGTCCCTCCTCTCTGACATTACGGACAAAGTCCCCGGCAACGGCACAACCGCAACGTCGGAAGAACCGGCAGAATCGACCAGCCACGCCGATCCTACTTCGCCAGCAGCGCTGCTTGGTTGGCACTCGCTCTCCGATCAGATCGACGATACAGCCGCCGCAATCACGTTGGCACAGCTGGATCTAGCCGACGGCGACTTGATCGACTGCGTCGTCAGACCCGACCCCTCTCTCGCTCTGGCGCCCAAGCAGTCCAGATCTACAGACCGCAATCGACGCGCCTCGACAGACCGCCATCGTCCCTACCGACACTAGCTCCCACCTACGCCCAGTGTCGGCCCTTGTATTTGTACCCACGTCACGCATAATTCACCGCTTCTCGCTTCACCCACGCATCACACAAACATCGCACAACCGTCGTCGAGGGGAATTGTAGGGGATTGTGGCGGCCAATGACGGCCTATTTTTGGATTGAAAGCAAGAGAGCTCGAAGCGTGATCGACGAAATACTGCAGCAGCGCAAGCGTCAAGGCAAGGAAGCGAGCTAGAAGGTGTCAGCCAGAGCTGCTCGTTGTATCGCAACACGATTACGAATCAATCCTCGACATCCCTTCGATCCAACCAACAATGGACCTGCGCTTGCTCGACGCTCGATGTCAGACGTATAGAATGATTCCGGATAGGGTGTTTTCTTCGCTGTACCCCTCCGCAAAACGGAAGGGCACATCCGTTGAGGGAGTCCTGTGGTTCATCATTGTACGAGCAAAGAGCGGTCCGGCCGACTGTCCCTCCTTCCTGTCTCCAGCCAACGCGTCGATGCTGCGTATCCGCAAATCCCCCCTCCCCTCGATCGACTCCAACCAATACTAACCTTCAGCCTGAGAAATGCACGACTTTGGCCGGCCGACGTGTTGGAAGCGTCGAACCGAGGCCGAATCTTACAAGCGCTTAGCGGCTCTTGAAGTACTCGAGGAGCACGTTGAGGCCCTCGGACTCCTCACCGTAGTTCTTGACCACGACGCACGAGCAGCCGACCACCTTACGGGGGTTGCCCTCGCGGTCGATCTTGCAAAGACCGGCCCAGGTGCCAAGGGTCTTGGGGTCAGACACCTTGAGCAGGTCGATCTTGTGCTCGTTGCACAGAGCCTCGATGAGCTTGAGGTACTCGGGCTCGTTGCACGTCTCGACGAGCACGCAAAGGTGGGCCTGGCGGCGGTCGAGCGCCTTGGCGCACTCGCGCAGACCACGGGCAAGACCGTCGTGGATAAGGGCCTTCTTCAGGACCTCCTGGAGAGCGTCCTCAATGGACATGGCGCCCTTGGCGGCGGGGGCGTCGGCGACCTCGACCTCCTGGACCTCCTGGGGAACCTCCTCGACGTCAGACATGGCTACGGTTGGATGGAAAAGAAAAGGGTGGCTTCTTCGAAAGGGATCGCTAAGGATGTGTTGATGAGGCGATTCCTACTCAGCACGTCAGGTGAAGAATGGGAATACGAAGTTTGATGAATGGGTGGTGGTTGCGAACGACTAGTCGCAGCTCGCCATCAATCGACAGGGCCGACACCACGCGGCTGCCGACAGTCACCGCCCAGCCTCCAAATTCTTGCCCACTCGCCATAGACTGCAGCGAGCATCTGGGATCGACCGTCCAACTTTTGGCGCGGGGGGTCTCTCTTGGGATCGGGCTGGACACCGCTGACGGCCCACAGACGGGGAAGAGGAGAAGAATTCCCGATTCTGCAAAAGTCGCCGATTTCGAGGCTGCGTTGGACTTCGGCCGAGCTCAAAGATAGTCACGTGCAGCCACAATTTCAGTCATGGCAGGCAGAAATTGTCGAAATTCTGTCTGGATGGGGCCTCGACAGCGAAGCAGAGCGGGCCTCAGCGCCACAGCCAGAAGGCAGTGTAGCGCGACCGAGACAATGCTCGAGACCGCTCAGCCGCCTGCACAGTGGGCCCTGAATTGGAATCACGAGAGCGTGGCTGCTGTGCCATTTGAGCAGCGTGGGTCCACTGAGGCTCAGCCAGCCAATCTGGAATGCAATCTCGAACTCGTCGCGCTGCCAAGGCCCCGAAGAAGCGTCGAGGCTCCAGCTCGAGTGTGGCGGCACAGCGCGGCACCACCTGTTTGCAGCAAGGCCGTCGGTCCCCGTTGACACCACCATCGTTACCTCAAGACCTCTCGATCCCCCTTCTCCACCCTTCATCACCCAACACATTCGCCCATCATGTCGAACGTTGAGCTCGGTGTCCAGACCGAAAAGGCTTTCCAGAAGCAGCCCATCTTCCAGAACTCCAAGGCCGCCCGTAAGACCACCCGCGACCGCCGATGGTACAAGGATGTCGGTCTTGGCTTCAAGACCCCCCGTGCCGCCATTGACGGTACCTACATTGGTAAGCATCCGACACTCGCCATCGCCAGCCATCCGCCATCTACGCAGAACCACGACTTTTCAGCCAGCCCATCGATGTTGCAGCAGCACGTTGCGACTTTCAGCATGGACATCCGCACAGCATTCATCCGACAGCAGATACAGCAGCAGGAAGCAGGATGCAGGAAACGGAGAATACGAGAGGCAGACACGATTGCAGAGGCGATGCCGATTTAGTCGACGCCAGCGAGGAGAGGGTGTAGCACCCAGGAAGCCAACGCCAAATTCTGGCTACAACAGGTGCCAACCACGCTTCGGGCACGCAGATGCTCTTGACGGAGGAGAAGAAGAGTGGCGGACACCTGGAATGCCGATTTGTGCGAGTTCATCCGGCCAAAGTTGCGGGCTCAGGAGATACGTTCGGACAACACATAGCAGTGCTTTCGGCATTACAGCATTAACGGACAACAGTGCTTGGACGATGCTGTTCCGCCACGGGTACTTCGCAGGGGCAGCTAGTTTCATCGCTGTGGTGTCCAGATCGCTTGCACCTTCGACCGCTCGGACGACCTGGACCTTCCCAACAACTGTCGAAGCTGTGATAGTTCGCCCGCATATTCACCGTGTCCGACTGCCGGCGCAACGGAGATCCCTAGCATCGGCGAGCGTTTTCGATGCGTGGATGGCTGGCTGTAGATGGCTCCAGCACCTCGTTTTGCGCCTTTCGTTCAAATTGCTGACCTTGTTGTACTCACTTTGTCTCTCGTTGCGATCGGGCGCACTCATAGACAAGAAGTGCCCCTGGACTGGTCTCGTCTCGATCCGTGGCCGTATCCTGACCGGCAAGGTTGTCTCCACCAAGATGACCCGCACGATCATCATCCGCCGAGAGTACCTTCACTTCGTCCCCAAGTACTCGCGTTACGAGAAGCGCCACAAGAACGTTGCCGCCCACGTTTCGCCCGCCTTCCGTGTCCAGGTCGGCGACACCGTCACCGTCGGCCAGTGCCGCCCCCTCTCCAAGACTGTTCGTTTCAACGTCCTCAAGGTGTCCAAGAACAAGTCCGCCGAGAAGGCCGCCAAGCAGTTCGGTCGCTTCTAAGCACATCTGTCGTTCCTTCTTCGTAGAGACCAGATCGCCCCTCGGCCCACCACCAATGTAAGGGGTGGTTGCTTGAGTGGTGGTTGGTGTCTGCTCATCCCCCCCAAAATCCGGGGTCTTGATGCAGGAGGGCGAGAGCCTGCCCAAGACCTTCTTGTACACTTAAACGTGCATTCCACAATCGCATCTTTCATTCGTCTCTCCCGCCATCTATCTCCTCCCCCTCCATGTATTTTCCCCGTCGCTCGCTCCTTGATATGAGTGGGCGGCGACCATAAAGTCGTCGCATTGAATTCGATGCATATGCCCTCGAATCATGTGGGAGGCTCGCAGATGAGCTTGTGCTTCTGACGGCTCCCTGGACTGCAAGACGAGGAAAAACGGCGAGAAGAAACGAATGTAGACTTAACAGTCGTAATCAGATGCAAAAATCGATCACGGGGGCGGTGCCCATCAGGGCGGCCCGATGGAGGAGTGCGAAGGAGAGGCCGAGCCAGCAGGCGAGAGAGCGATTTGGAAGCTCGACGCGCACAGACGCCGATGCGAGCCAGAGTGGACAGTCGCTGGGCGGTGTTGGTGCGAATGGAGACGTGCGCGTGCACCAACCTTCATCAATCCACCATCACGCACCTTGGATACGGCCAAAGTGCTCCAGCTGCGACCTCGAATCGTCCAATCGTCTTCGACCCAGCCTTCGTGACCGCAGTCAACCACATCTAGATCACGACCTACCAACATGGCGTTCGACTTTGGCGAGTCCAAGCCCTCGGACCCTACTGCCGACTTCCTGGCGCGCGAGCGCGAGGCTGCCGGTGTGCTTTCCGGCGATGCAGACCTGTTTGGCTCCTCGGGTGCTGCTGGAGGTGCCGGATCTGCCGACGACTTTGAGCGCTCCGCATCCGCCTTCCCTGCGCTCGATGACGACGGCCTTCCCGCACCCACATCTTCCAACGCTGCGCCCTCCGGCGGCTTTGGCTTTGACGACATCGACGACCGACCCGAGCCCACGTCGACAACTTCGGCCAAGCCCGTCGACGATGAGGTGGGCAAGTTTGAACAGAACTTCCCCGAACTTGACGACGGCGCAGCAACCAACACCAACGGCGCTAGCTACCACGACGATACCGTGAGTGCCTCCCGCCAGCGCTCGCTCTGGGCCAGATGGAGGAGGCTCGTACTGACATAGACGTTTTTGCTTCAGGATGACTTGATGAGTGCGCCTGCGCCAGCTGCATCGCGATCGGCGGCACCCGCACAGCCTAGCTACTCGTACAGCTACGAGGAGCCCACTGAGGAGGCTGAGCCGGTGCGATTGTGGCGCGAGTCGCAGAAGGACGCGATCGCCAAGCGCGATGCCGAGGGCGAACGCAAGAAGGCGGAAGCCATCTCGCAGGCCGAGCAGGACATCGACAAGTTCTACGCCGAATACAACGCCAAGAAGGAGAAGAACATCGCGGCCAACAAGGAGGCCGAGGCCAAGCTGAACGAGCAACGCACGCGCGAGCTCGCCGAAGGCACCACCTGGAACCGCGTCACCAAGCTGCTCGAGCTGCAGAACAGCCAGTCCAAGACCATCGCTCGCTCCGGTCCCGGCAGCTCGGACCTGACGCGCATGAAGGAGCTCTACCTCAGCCTCAGGAGAGAAGGCGAAACCGCTCCCGGCGCCGCCGGCTACTAAGGGGCATTGTTCGAGAGCTCTTGTGGCGTGCCGAGCTCGCACCGCGCTTTTGTAGATTAAGCTCGCCCTTCCGATTTGAACAAGCGTGCTGGTTTGTGTTGACGACTCAACTCACTCTGTGGCAGCGCAAGGCTCACAGCTGTGCGGCAAAGATACAAGGCAGGCGAGATGGATTGCGCGTGCGCAGACATGGGCGAGAATTCTTTACAAGTACAACAGAGACGAATGCATGGGTAGTCCAGCGATCCCATTCCGAGACAGCCAGACTTTGGGGAACTGTTAGAGAAAGTATTCGGGAGCGGGACGTTTTGCGGGAACGCCATGCGCCTCTTGCGCGGCGGCATCAAAGGTCTCGTACTTCTGATTGAGGGCGTCGTCGAGCTTGAGGATGGAGGCGACGTTGCCGCAGCGGTAGCAGTAGTTGGGTGCCGACCATACCGTGACGATGGTTTGGTCAAACATGAGTTTGTAGCCCTCGAGCACGAGCTGATGGGCGCGCGCGATGAGGTCGAGGTCGTTGGTATGCGCAAACTGCTGCACCACGTCGCCTCCGAACAAGTAGCCCGCCCCACGGGGACTCATGCCCCAGCCGGTGATGTCGTCTGGGTCGGACCAGAGCAGATCGCACATGGCGCCGTCGTGAGGCACCTCCTGCTTGCGGTCGATGTTGCGGATCTGATCGAGCGTCGAGATGCTCGGTGACAAGCCGCCATGCACGCAAAACACACGTCCATCCACCACAGCCCCGAGCGCCAGGTAGTCAAACACCTCGCAGCAGTAGCGCCACACATTGACGCTGCCGTACTTGCGCACGCACTCGTCGTAGAAGCCGTACACCTGCGTGATCTGGCGCGACTCGTGGTTGCCGCGTATCAACGTGATGCGGTCCGGATAGCGCACCTTGAACGCAAGCAGCAGCAGGAACGTCTCCACCGAGTAGAAGCCGCGGTCGACGAAATCGCCCAGGAAGAGGTAATTGGTCTCGGGACACATGCCGCCGTGCTTGAAGAGCTCCATGAGGTCGAAGAACTGGCCGTGGATGTCGCCGCAGATGGTGACGGGCGCATCCACATGCTGCACATTACCCTCTTCGATCAGGATCTCGCGCGCCTTGAGGCAGAGCTCCTTCACCTGCGTCTCGGAGAGCGGCTGGCATTTCTTGAGCTGCTCAATCTGCAGATCCAGATCGCTGCCCATGGTTCTGTGGAGAAGACGGCAGAGGCGGATGGTCGCCTCGCTGTCCAGTGTCGTCAGCCTAGCAGACCAGGGGCTGAAGTGGAGCAGGGTCTGCTTGGCTAAGATTCGGTGACGGCTGCGCGTCCGTAGAGTCGCCCGCACGAGCCGGGGAGGGAGCGGGTCGGTAAGAGAGGGCAGAGGCGGCTCGATGCGGTATCTCCGTGGGCGGAAGACGGCGGTGGATGTGAGCTCAGCGCGTGCGGTGGGAGGCTGCCAGATGCTCGGGTGTTGCCGATGCGGGAGCAGGAGCGAATGCGGGATGCCGATGCTTTTTGGATGCCGACGCGAAGCAAGGATGCGGAGCCGGTGACGATGCGGTGGGAGGCGGGCCTATGTTGTATGTGTGCGGTATGAGCAGGAGCGAAGATGCCGATGTCGGTGACGGAAGCGTCCGAGCCTAAAGATGTTGACAATGTGCACAGTGTGGTAGGATGATGGATGTCGGGACGGTAATCCAGGGCGAACCGGGGTCGTTTGAGCCGTCGCCGCCGTCGGTCGCGAGAGTGGAGTCGAGGCTGCGTCGAGAGCTGCACGTCGAGTTGAGAGCCAGCTGCCGCGACGTCGTGTCGAGATGCGGCAGTGGCGACTCCAACTCGACCCGGCAGCAGCGCGAGTCTGTCAACTTTCGAATTTCTCAAGATTTTTTTTATCGAATTCTCCACACTCGCCCACGACTCGACTCGAGCTGGACCCTCGCCGCTCAGGCACAGCTCATGTAGGCCTCACCACGGCCGAATCACTCGACGATCCGCTGCTTCGGGAGCAGGCTGGTTCTTGAAGCCGCATGGTGAGCGGAAGCAGGCGGCAGTTGATGCAGACGGTGGACGTGAAGCATGGGGAGGTGGTTCGCCAAACCTGCTCGGAGCCTTGCCGATGTGATGAGACTGCTTCGAGCAGAGGCGAAAGGCACCATCTCATTCCGGCTGTCTGCGCCGTGGGTGTGCATATGAAGCAGCAGCATCCGCTCCTACAGTGCGATATCGTAGCACGGCTGCTGGACAGTGAGGCAGCCAAGGGAGGGAAGGTGCAAAAGTCCCACGCGTGCCGCATCGAATGCTTCGGATACACCGACTGTGGCTTGCTCCCATGGCTGTGGATGCGGAGCCATCCGTTGGCAGGGCTCAGAACAACTGATTGTCTTCCACTGGACCCTTGAAAGAGGGAGAGATGGGAGCGGCGCGGCGCGGCGCAAGACGGAGCCACGCCGTCCCGACCTGGCGACCAGTTCGGCTGATTTCCGAAGTCCACTTGCCATGCTGCGGGCGAGTCTCGGGGAATTTGGACGCAGCTCTCCGCTCGCTGGCCCAAAGCGGCCTTCGGGATGACTCCGAAGAGAGCGCGTCTGCGGAAATTCTTGCTAATCAGACAAGGCCAGTCAAAAGGCCGAGGCGTCACCGCTCTTGCCTCCTCCCCATCACCCTTCATCACCCTACACCACTCTCAGCTTCTCGGAAGTAACACTCACAATGCACATCGCCAGGCAAAGGACACACGCCACCGCGCGCAGCGTCGCCAGGATGCTTCAGCCAGCCTCGCGCCCCGCCGCACCCCGTATCATCGGCACTTCGGCTGCCACCGCCACATACTCGACTCGCGCTTCGCCATCGCTAGTTCCTCGCGCTGACCTTCGCGCTGCGCAGCCGCACCTTGCAGCACCATCAGCACCCTCGCTTCGTCGCGGCCTTGCCACCGTGGCTCGCTCCGACGCTTTCGCCAACCTCACCTCGGCCGACGTCGAGGCATTCGCAAAGATCCTGCCCTCCCCCTCCCAGATCCTCACCACCATCGCTCCCGAATCCGGTTCGGCCTCATACCAGCCAGTCGACCCGAGCGAGCTCGACACGTTCAACAATGACTGGATGAACAAATACCACGGAAGGTCGCAGCTCGTGCTCAAGCCAAAGACCACCAACGAGGTCTCCGAGATCATGAAGTACTGCCATGCGAAGAACATTGCCGTCGTGCCGCAGGGAGGCAACACGGGTCTTGTCGGTGGCGGTGTTCCTGTATTCGATGAGGTCGTCGTCCAGCTCGGCGGCCTCAACCAGATCCGCTCTTTCGACGAGGTGGCCGGCACGCTCGTATGCGACGCAGGCTGCATCCTCGAGAGCCTCGACAACCACATTGGCGAGAAGGGTTACATGATGCCGCTCGACCTCGGTGCCAAGGGCTCGTGCCACATCGGAGGCAACGTCGCTACCAATGCCGGCGGCCTGCGCTTCCTCCGCTACGGCAGCTTGCACGGCACCGTGCTCGGCCTCGAGGTGGTGTTGCCGGACGGCACCATCATGGACACGCTCTCGACGCTGCGCAAGGACAACACCGGCTTTGACCTCAAGCAGCTCTTCATCGGCTCCGAGGGCACCATCGGCCTCATTACCGGCGTCGCCATCGCTACGCCGCGCAGACCCTCGGCGGTCAACGTGGCCGTTTTTGCGCTCGACTCGTACGACGCGGTGCAGACCGTCTTTGGCCAGGTCAAGAAGCACTGCGGCGAGATCCTGTCTGCCTTTGAGTTCTTCGACCAGACGTCGTTCGACGTGGTGCAGAAGCACGCCACCGCCGGTGTGCGCGATCCGTTCGAGGCGAGGCATCCCTTCTACGTGCTCATCGAGACGAGCGGCTCGAACAAGGACCACGACGACGAGAAGCTGCAGGTGCTGCTCGAGCACCTCATGGAGGAGGGCATGATCCAGGACGGCGTGCTGGCCCAGGACGAAACACAGCTGCAGGGCCTGTGGGCGCTGCGAGAGAGCATCCCCGAGGCGGCGGGCAAGATGGGCAAGGTGTTCAAGTATGACCTCTCCATGCCCATCGACAAGATGTACGCGCTGGTGCAGGACATGCGCACGCGCTTCGACGAGCACGGCGTCCACGGCGAGGGCAACGACGTCGGCGCCGTCTGCGGCTACGGCCACATCGGCGACGGCAACCTCCACATCAACATTGTCGCCAAGTCGTACGACCCCAAGATCGAGAGCATCATCGAGCCGTACATCTACGAATGGACGTCCAGCGTCAAGGGCTCTGTCAGCGCCGAGCATGGCCTCGGCCTCATGAAGGCCACCAAGATCGGATACACAAAGACGCCCGAGAGCATCGAGTACATGAAGAAGATCAAGAACGTCTTTGATCCCAAGGGCATCCTCAACCCGTACAAGTACATCCAGGTCTAGGTCTCTAACTCGTAATTCAGCACTTTCTGCATGAGCTTCCTTGTGTTGTCTGCGAGGATGGTGGGCATTGACGTGAGAGCAGGCCGAGAGGTGGTCAAGTGCATTCGCTATGCTCGGAAGACGGGCGAGAGTATCGCGGTGCGGCCCAATTCTCCACTTGGCGACCGGTGCGGAAATTTCCACGCGGCGCTGCTGAGCTCCAGAAGATTACGACATGCGCAGCAGCACACCACCGCAACCATCACCTCCTCTTTACGGAACGACTGCGCCATCGCATCATCGGCAGAGCTGCTCTACACTTTCGAAAGGGTTGAGCTTGATCCTTCAGAACTTGGAGGATGTCCACGTGGGTTTCGCCGTCCATGTCGCGGTTCAACCGCTCGGGCACGTCTAGCCATTCGGAGCCCAATTCGTCGGAGCGGTCTGCGTTCGCGCCCGAATACGAGCCCGTCCAACTCGGCTCGTCGTCGGTGCTGAAGCCACTTACGCCTCCGAGCGTATCGAATCTCACACCGTCAACGTGTCTGGCGATTGGCGAGTTCAAGGAGCTGCTTCGGCAGTACCGTCAGCTGGATGATGGCATTACGACGCGGCTCAATCGCAGCTTTGCGCGCTCGCGAGCGCTCGGCCAGAGCTCTTCTCCCTCGCTCCTCTCCTCCTCTACAAACTCGGCCAGCTCGGCAGACCTTGGTACGAGCACGTATGCGACTCCGCAACCGGCAGCATGTGCGGCATTCTGGCGAGAGCTGGTCGACGTGTGGATCGGACGTGAAGAAGTCGTTCGCTTCTGCATCAAGGTCGCCGACCAAACTTCAAGTCCTGCCCCCGCAGTTGCATCAACAGATCAGAGATTGAACGCAGACTATACACCGCCGAGTGGCAAGCAAGACAGGTGGAGTAGGGCAGAGAATACAGCCGAGACGCTCAATAGACAGCTGCATAACGAGCTCAAGGTAGAAAGCATCATTCGCGCGCGCAGCCTCGACGCCTTCAAGTCAAGATGCAAGTTCTTCACCCCAACCCCACCGACTGGTCCCGAGGGTGACCGCGAGCGTGCAATGTGGCTCGGCATCCCAACCCCAGCTGCCAGAGCAAGCCAACAAGGCGCCCCACTTCCATGACCCACCCGCACAACCTCCCACACCACTCTCATTCCTCAGCAAACACACACGTTTTGGTCTCGTTCATCATGTCCATTGCGAATCGCGGGGTCAGCGAGACAAAAGACCCTCACTGATGCATGTGGGACATCCCTTCTTCGCGACAATTGTCGAACGCAGGCGCGCTTCGTACTTGAGTCGCGCGTGGAATTGAGCCGTGGCGTGGTTGGCGCGGTGCAGCGGACCGTACTGCGAGAGCTCGACGAGCGACGCCGGAACAGCCTGTTTCGCCACCGCCTCGTCCTCCTCGGCGTCGAAGCTCCGCCATGCATGGCTGGTCCAGCGCTGCCTGACAGCGGGTGTGCTTGCAAATGCCTGCGTCGTTGTCAACTTGACCGACTCCGCACCGGTCACTGCCGACTTGACAGCAGGCACGTTGGCGGGCGGAAGCAGACACGTGAGATGATGCACATGCCCACACAGATACACCACCACCTTGGGCTGTCGTGCTGCCGTATACGCGTCCCCACCCGTCGTTTTCGACAGACCGGACGCAAACAGCGCAGCGCCGCACGAGGCGCAGATCGACTCGTCGTCCACATAGCTCGCGTACAGCTGCGACCGCTGCAACTCTTCGCTGAGCACCTTGGTGTCGTGGCTGAGGATCGCCTCGCATCCCTCGAGCAGGCTGATCTGCAGCGTAAAGTCGGACAAGATCTTGATGAGCGCCGCCTTGAGCCCCGGAATCTCCAATCCATTCTTGATCCTCCGAATCAGCCGAATCGGGTCGATCTCGGCACCCACGTTCTCGAGCAGCCCTCGGATGAAGGCCGGGCGCGACTCGGAATAGCCCAGCAGATCCTCCCACAGATCGTCGTCGTTCTGCTCCTTGGCAAAGTCGATCGCACGCTCCACATCGCCGAGCCGCTCGATGATGAGCGATAGCGCGCGCTTGTTGTCGCCCACCCGTCCCAGCAGGAACACCATCTCGGCCACATAGTCGTGCTCGCTACAGATCGCGTACGCCTTCTCAAAGCTGTAGAACGACGACATGGCGCGCAGGTACGACATGAGCCGACCGCACTCGTACTCGGCATACAGCTTCACCTGCAGATCGCAGAACTGCGTCACCTGCTGCGGATCCCGGTCGAACAGCGCATCCAGGTACATGTACAGAAACCGCGGATGCGTCTCGAGCTGCGCAATCACCCGTCCGATCGGAATCGAGTACGTGTGGTCCACCAAAAGATCGATCGCTGCGCCGTGCTTGGAGTGCGATGACGAGTCCGCGGCCCGGCGTGTCTTGAGGTCTTCTTCGAACTCGATCAGCAGCAGTGCCTGATCCTGCACCGCCGTGAACAGGTTGTTGTCGCGGATGAGATCAAACACATTGGCGCGACGCAAGCGCAGGTAGTACTGGAGCGCTTTGCCCGGCTGTCGATTCTTGATGTACAGCTCGGCGAGGCACTCCATCAGCAACCGCTCCGTCGCCGTCTTGACCTTGTCGTCGTCCGCTCCATCGCCACCACCCCCGCTCGAGGCAAGCCGGTCTTCGATCGCCAAAACCACCGCTGGCGTCGAGTAGATCTCCGACGGCCACTCCTTGATCGTCTCGAGCAGCTTGTCCAGGTCGTGCTGCAGAAAGTGCGCCAGAATCATGTCGTACACCATCTCGCTCAGCGTTGGGTCCGACGTGGGGATGTACGGGATCGCCAGTCCAAGCTTGCCCTTCTCGACGAAGAGGAAGATCCAGTCTTCCCACGCCGACGCGTTGCGGCCGAGGATCTTGCTCGCCACGCGTGCTGCCTCCGAATACCGATCCTCCTCGACGAGCCAGTTGAGGTACTTTTTGCCGATCACCTCGGCGTCGAAGCCGTTCTGCAGCGCCGCCGTCTTGCCCATGCCTTCGATCTTGATGAGCGCCTCCTGGAACCGCTGGCGCTCGAGCAGCCACTCGACGTGGTCCTTCTCGTCGCGCGGCTTGGACACCACAATGTCGCGCGGACTCACCACGTAGAACTGAGACGCCTCGGTCGACTCGGCTCGCACCTTGCGCCCCGCCAGCAGCGCCGCCGAGTATGCATGCGCCTCGATGGACGGCACCAGCAAGTAGTTGTTGCACTGGAAGCGCGAGTAGTCGTTGAGGCTGAGCACGTCTGAGCTGAGCTCTTCGCCTGCACGGCTGATGATGCGCAGCTCGGGTCTCTGTGCCTCCGGACGACGCCTCGCCCCCTGCTGCTCGTCGTCTCTGTCGTCATCCGAGTCGTCGGGCTCGTCCGTGACGTATGCCAGCACAAGATAATCGAGGCCGTACGGGGCGATTCCGGAGATCATGCAGTCGAGCTGGAAGATGGCGGTGATCTCAATGTAGTGCTGCGGATGCGAAGGCCCAGTGCCAGGCACGCCGACCTTGCTCAACGCAGATGCTGCATTGTGTGTTGAAGTCGAGGCGATCGAGGCGCCAGAAGAGACGGTGGCGCCGCCTGCCGAGCCGTTTGCTTGCCGCTCCTTGATCTTGGCCACCTTGATGTGGTCTGCCCAAGCGATGAGCAGCGTGCGGTCGTCCTGCCAATAGAGCGTGCAGCGGTGCAGGTCGCCTCGTACATCCTTGCTCGGAGGCGAGATGAAGCTGATGCGCTGCTTTGCGTCCGTGTCGTACACGCGCACACCCTTGTCGCTCGCCCATGCGATCATGCTGCCGCGCCAGCGTGTCGTCCAGATGGGTCCCTCGCCCGAATGCAAGACGGTCTCCTTGTGACCGAACCAGCTCTTCTCGCGGTGCGTGAGCGAACCCGCCATGCCACCGCATACAAACGCGCGCGACGACTTGCGACCAAAGTTGGGCTCGAGCGAGATGCAGCGCATGGGCCTTTTGAAGTCGAACACGTACTGCTCTGCAGTGGCCAGTGCCGATATCGAGACCAAACCGTCCATGGAGGCAGCCGCAACAAAGTCGGACGTATTGTCGATGACCACGTCCAGGATCGAGGCGGTATGCAGACGGAACCCTTTGACGAGGTTGCCGTTGATGTCGAGGATGTAGATCATGCCCGCGTGCGTTCCGAGTGCCATGAAGCGCGGAGAGAGCGCGAATGCAGATGCGGTGTCGCGCTTCAGCACGTCGCTCACGCCGCCCTTGACGCGCGAGTACTTGAGCGAAGGCTCCACGTCCTCTTCCTCGTCCTCGTCGCTCTCGTCTGCAGATTCGTCGTCCTCATCCTCGTCCGCCGCTTCGTCCTCGAAGGTCTCGTCATGTTCCGTGTCGGTGGCCTGTTGCGTGCCTTCGACATCGGAGCTGGCTTGGCCGCCGTTCCGGTCCATGTCTTCCTGCGAGTGAGATCGCGTGCGCCCTGCTCCTTTTTTTGCGTTTTCATCTACAGAGACGACTGCATCCGCCTCGGGCATCTCGCCTTCCAGCAGCACCGTCATCCTCTTCTTTACCGCATCATCGTGGCTGGACCCGGCCGCAGATTCAGCCCGGCCGAGCGACGGCCGTTTGCGTCTGGGCGCTGGAGAGGTAGGTGTCGAGTCGAGCGAGCTCGTGCTGGCGCGGCCGGCAGAGGAGCTGCTTTCGGTACGTCGGAGCGAGTCGGGTCGCCGGCGGTGCGTGCGTTTCTTGGGCGAGATGGCATCCGAGGAGGCTGCGGCAGCCAGAATCTCGGCTGCCAGTGATGGCCCGTCGTCTTCGTTTTGAGACTGACCGTCTGGCCTCTCTGGAGCCTGAGAATCGTCTGCAAGAGTCGGTGATGGCTCTTCGTCGGGCGCATAGTCCATCTCGAGCTGACCTGCCTCCTCGTCGTCGTCGTCAGCCAGCGTCACGGACTGCTGCTGCGGTGAGTCGCTTCCGAGCTCGTGGCTGGCGTCTCGAGCCGAGTCGCTGGGGCCAGCGTCATCGTGTGAGGTTGACAGCTGGACGGATGGCTCCGAGTGCAGTGTTGGTCTGTTGCGGCGTCCAAAACCTCGAGTGGCGAAGGATGCCTGCCGCTGTCGGATCTCATCCGCCAGCTTCACTGTCTCCTGCGGCGAAGACATTGTGAGGAGAGTTGGAGGCTGTCACTGACTCCTGGTCCGTTCGGGTCGACTATGCTGCTGTCGCCATCTCTCGTGATCCTCAGTAGTCGAGACGAGTGATTCAACGCTGATGGATTCAGTACGACGTTGATTGCTCCTGCTCAACGCAAGGTCGCCGTTTCGGATAGGGTTGATTGTCGTGACAGAGGCAGCAGGGTGATGTGCCGGTGGGAAGTGCGAATCCCCCCTGAGCAGCCCGCCAGAGCGTAGTCGCGTTGGTGCCAAAGCGAGCCGCCGAGTGGAGGCGATCCGTGCAGATCGTCGACGGCCACTTCAAGCTGAGTTTTCTTATCAGCTACTTTTCACCCCCCTAACATCCAAGGCAAGATGGCCGAGTGGTCTAAGGCGT